CCTCCTTTTGCTACTCTCACATAGCTGTGTTTATTTCCAACACCAGTCTGCTTGTACCGGTTCTCACGGTCTCTTCACTTGCAAATTTCTTAATTTTCCTTCTACCCTGAAGATGGAGGCGATACGTTCCTCCGAAACGTCGGTTAATACCACATCTACACAGTGCCATATCCCAGAAGACTGCTTTCTTCATAGTCACTGCTGTGAAAACCTCAAATCTTACAACATATACTTAGTTTTCTCTGGATTTACTTCTAGACCAACCTCCATACTTGCATCGGTTAAAGCTTGTTCGTATTTCTTAATGATATCTATATTATCACCCAGTAGATTCACATCATCGACATAGACCAACAGCTGATGTGTCCCATTTAATTTCAATCCCACCTGGTTTTCTGGCTCGTTCCTAATTGCATATTCTAAAGCAAAGCTGAAAAGCAGTGGCGATAAAGCATTTCCTTGTTTTAGACCATTCTCAATAGGAAATTTATCAGGCAAATGTTTACCTGTATGGACTTTACTATACGTTTTGTTTAAACACATTTTAATCAGCCTAACTAGTTTCATGGGTACCCCAGACTCTTATCAGAATATTTTACAGTACTTCCCTCCTAACTGATTCATGGACTTTCTTGAAGTCTACAAATAGCTGATGTACTCCCATTTTTTCTCCAATATCTGACGAATGCTAAAGATTTGATCCGTAGTTGATCTCTTACGTTGAAACTCACCATGATGATCCCCAATAAATTCATCTATGTATGAACTTAACCTTGTGAGAAAAATATTGGATAAAATTTTGTATGAAGTTGATAACAGTGATATCCCCGATAATTACTACAGTCAGTTTTATCACCCTTCTTGTGAACTGGTACAATAATAGACTCCTTCCACTGATCAGGCAATTTTTCCTTATGCCAAATATAATTAATTAGCTTATGGATTTTAGAATGTAATACTTTGCCTACTGCTTGAATAAGTTCTGCTGGAAAATGATCACTACCTGGCGATTTATACCTTTTCAATTTTGCAATAGCAATTTCAGGGTCGAAAGGGCTAGGATTAGTTATTATGGCTCAGCTGTATGTATTTCTATCTGCTTAATATCACTGACCCTATGTATATTCAATAACTGAGAGAAGTAGCTGCTCCACCTATTCAAAATGTAGTGGGAACCTGCAAGCAAATCACCATTCTCATCCTTCACTAAGTTACTTCTAGGNGCCTACTGCTTGAATAAGTTCTGCTGGAAAATGATCACTACCTGGCGATTTATACCTTTTCAATTTTGCAATAGCAATTTCAGGCTC